TTCCCGCCACTATTGAGTCGCTGGTACATCGTTCGACTCGCTGGTGCAAAGTTCGATTCGCTGGTGTAACGTTTGATTCGCTGGCGCAACGTTCGGATCCAGCGATTCGCAAAGTATGACGTCGGTCTTAGACTCCCTTCCAAAGCCTTTCAAAGGTCAGTTTTCAAATCAGTGACATTTCCTATGTACTTGACTAGGGCTAGTGCATGTTTCCACCCTTTAAGGTCGAATGGTTGAACCTGCTGGGACTGCTGCTTTAACAATTACGTATTCCGGTCGATGACGTTTACCCGATGTTTCCCTTTATCGTTGGCCGTCAGTCATCTTGAGTGTGATCCTTCTGCGGCCCATATATTCCCCCTGGGTATACACTCCAAAGTTTGCAGGGAGAGGGTACGAGTTTCGTCATGTAGGTGCGATTTTTGATGTATTATATTACATCTCTATCATGACCCAGAAGAAGGCTCCACCAGGTTCAGATCGAAGGACAGATGAGGCATTCGTCCAAGGATATGAAGATCCGAAGATGTCACTACATCAGTTGAGCACTTTTCGACCTCTTTGTAGTAGCGCCGTCGCATTAGAAGCTTACGATTCCTCCCCATGGCCTGAGACCTTGAAATTGAGGCCTGCTGAAACAACCTTCGGCAACTGAACACTGGTAAAAATCAAGCTCAAATCATGGCCTCAGCTCAAACCATGACAAGAACTGGATAGTCCTCGTGGGTTGTAGCTTTCATCAGTCGCAAAAACTATACCTGTAAAAGTTGTATAGCTGTGAAAATCATCTCATCTGTCAGCGCTTTCATCTGCTGACCGCCTCTTTTTAGCCCAAGTCACATACTTTGTTTCTGCAATGTACTGCTAGAAAATTCCAAGTCTATGGTCATCTTCATCAAGAAAGCGGAAGTTGCTTTGACTGTCTGCTCTGTCGACTGCTTTTCTCACTGTTCTCCTTGGATTGAAAGGATGGCCATGGCGAGGACGGCCTTGGACTGTTATTCTCTTTTGTCCATGGCAGGCTCTAGATTGTGAAGTACAGTGGATGGGCGATACTTGTTTGGATGTCCCGTCTCAATCAGAAGGAGAATATCAGTTCAGCGGGTTCAGGTGCAATATTGGGGAAGCTATCGAGGAACCGTAGAGTTTGACATGCTTATTTGGATGCATGAGAGGGAAGTATTGATATGCTGCCGTTTAAAAATCGATCTCTGGCCAGCAGAAAAAATAAGTGAAAATTGTTGCACTACTCGAAGAGCATCGCGTAATGGGAACTATACGTATAACTTTGAACGAGACTTTGAGTAGAAATTCATGATTTCCAGTGGGTTGAAAGCTGCAAGTTACCGCGAACGCTATACCATTTTTTCAGTTGGGCATATTCCTCGTTTTGATGATCCATCCAGGGGATCCGAGATTGAGTTCTGGACTACCCGTAGGGGACACACACAAAATTTCTGCGGTGGATACTATCTTGGATCTCATTCGGTACGTTTTTACGAATAGAAGCATGTTCTCTCAACATCAACTGTTTGATACGCCTCTGCTGTGATTTTCCAGAAATATGTTCCCAGACAATATCATTCGTGCTTCATTTGAACGCTCACAAACGATTCAAAGGAAAAAGTCCAGTTGCTCATGGTAATGGCACCGTGCAGGAAATCAAAAAGGAGGTTTCGGAACAACGAGGAATGAACATAATAGGTAGACCTTTTTCGCTCCACGATTCCTTTTTCTGCTGGAGAAAGTGGGAACCTGCAACAATGCAATTAATCTACTCTTTCGAAAGTATCGTTGATAGCGTTCTACTTGACGACGGAATTCTCTTAAATTGAAGCCATAACTCTCGATTAGACATTCAAGAAATTTTCTCGTCAAGTGCATAGCAGGACCCTTAATCACAGGAGTGGTGGTACTGTCGCGACTTGAAAGTGCGCGACAAGGAGAGCTAATGCCTTCGCTTGACCGCTGCGACCGCTGCCATTCTTATCAATCGCAGCATACGTGGCGTCTGCGCCCTCTCGCGTAGACGTGCTCTCTCGCATTTTCCTTCCTCCTCGTAGCGCTATGTCTCTTCGTCATGCCATGGTCGTCCTCACAAGGAATATTTGCTCGTTGTGTACGTGAAAAAGGCTTGTTTCAGGTATAATTGTGTTCTGCATTGGATTTGGCATCGTGACGTCTTATTATGCCGAAAAGGTCCGAGTACTTGTGGACTTCTTCATGGCGCTGGACAAAATTATCATGAAACTAATGTTATCGGTGATGTGGTAAAGTGCCCTTAAGTATTTAAAAGAGTCTGGAAAATGTTATAACAAATGTGTGAAGGTTCTCGCCTATTGGTATCACCAGCTTGATATGTGGCAGCCTCTTGGAACTAAATGATATATGGTTAGCAGCTGGAGCGATGTCAAAGTGAGTACTGCAAAACGTTTACTAATCATTTATCGTGAGTTCGAGCACGGCGCGGAGATAGCCCAATGGGAAGAGTTATCCAAGTCACGAGGACGAAAAGCCATCAAAACCGATCACCATCCTCAAACATCCAACGTCAAATAGTAGCATCACTTCTTCGCTCCTTCTTCGCAGTCTCACGATTAATAACTCTTATGAGCTCGAATTGTGTAAAAATCCCGACTGCATGCCTGACAAGACCAGAAGCAATTCATGGCTCCCGGACCACACTCCCAACAGCCCCAAACCCTAATACCAAACCTTACAAAGTAACCCTTCACCTCGCTTTGAAATCAAACAGTCCGTCCGTTTTCGCTTCACTGCTGAGATTAGCTGTCCGAAGTCTGCCTGAGTGCCCATAGCCTGCTTACATAGGGTTGCGAGTCAACCTTAAATTACGATCACCAAACACTGATGGGAGGCGTTGAGCAGAGACCAGAGCGTATGGAAAAAGAATCAGAGCTCCTTCTTAAGACAACAGCGGACAGACATACTGTGCGAACAATGTGAGCTGTCCGCGTTGAGCGCCCCAAAAGAATCTGACTATGTATCATGTCCCTTAGAGTTTGCTACATTCTCTTCAATTCCAGTCAGTGAGTGCAAGATGAAAAACCTGATAAAAACTGGCAGATAAAAAATAAAGCCTTGCCGTGACTCAATCCCGTTTTGGATGCGCACGCATTCACTTCCATATACATTCGCAGGCGTTGAACTCGATGTTGCCTAATTACGAATGTCGGGTCCAAATCAGTCTTTTTATCCTCCCAGACAAGTCTGGTACCAATTAACCGACCCCGGAGGGATGGAAGGCTTGGTTGGCCCGGGCGACTCACGACCCAGGATTTGATCCCCGGACCGCTCGCGTGGTAAGCGTGCCACTTGCCACTACACCACTTCCGCCCTAATGGAAACAAACCTGCATTCATATGAAGGAAGACAAAATAGTGTTTCCCGAAATAGTGAAACTGTCGCGCAGTGAAATCCCGTCAAATGTTGGGTGACGGCCGCACAGCTCAAGTGGCGGCACTACAATAAAATGAGTTGGAGTAGACGGCTAGAAACGGGTTTCGCCAAGATCGGCAAAGCCGAGGCGAAGGAAAGGGGAGGATCAACCATGAGAAAAATGAACACTAGCGATTCCAATAGCAGACGAGAGCCCGCAACCGCCGGAACCTCCCGTTCCTGCGTAAGTTTTGCGCTCTACTGTCTCGCAATGCCCCAGCTGCCATCTGCCGGCACTCTGAATGACATAAAAGTGGCCAACGTAGGTGTTGTGATATACCATTTGGTGGGTGTTACACAATCACCTTTAACATGGATACCAGTCCTCACAGAGCTGAACCCAATCTGTTCGGGTTATTTACCCATGGGCGGCCTTGCCACTCATTTCCTTGCAGACGCAGACACAAATAGCAGTGCAGTCATTCTAAGCTTTTTTTTTGTTTTGTGGCTGTTGCCCCCCATCAAAGCCAATGATATGAGACGAAATCAAGCAATGTCACTCTCACACAGATGCGTTGGTTTCCGACGGCTGCATATTACTAATGCAACTTCACAAAAATATATTTAGGTACGTTTTCACATACTGCATCGACGCGATACATTCATTCAATAATAATTACCAGTTGTATGTTTGGCTCAAGAAAGAACGCCAAAACAAGAATCTTCAAAATGCATGCGCCAGCAGTATCGTAGCCTGCACGGCATCGCGACTCCAATTTTGTAACTCATACACTACTCCTTGCTCTTGATCTCTCTCAAAGAAGGAGTTAGCACAGTCGTCGTTTATCAAGTTAATAGGAAGATAATCATGCTCTACTAATACTATTAGAGATTAAGTTAATCATTCATGCCTGATATGTTCGTTGGTTCGTTTATTGCTAATTTTTCAGCCCCTATTTTTAAGTGGACGCTTACCACTGCCATCAATGAATGAGAAGAAGGCCGGGTGGATGAACGGTACACAATACTGTTCTGCCACTTGAGCAATATCAACATGTACGTAACCGGCCGATTCAATCAAACATCCTCTGCTGAGAAAAGTGGCGATTTTCTAGAAGAAACCCTACTCAATCTTCAAACTAACATCACCAGTAGCGCTATTAATAGCACAGTCTCGCCACCACATAAGGACATATCGCGTAATAGCAAATACAAACAAATTGTGGGTTCTTTTTACCAGAAAAGTGAAAATATGCGAAAATCTTCTTCCTAAATTTACATATCAACACCTCTCCCTTTTGCAAGATGAACCTTTGTTACTAAAAGCTTACAGCTTACGCAATGTATGTGTTCTGTTCTGTTCTCCTCCTCCATGTTCTGTTCTGATGAATCCATCACTTGTTCCATCGTCTCGAAATCTGAATAATTTTTATGAACTCTTTTTCGGGCTCTGACGGTGTCCTCCAAATAGTGCTATGTATAACGGACTGTTGGGCGTCCGTTGGGATGTGAAAGAGGTCCTACGGCAATTGTGGTGTAAGATGCTTAGGTCATCGGCCACGGTGACACGGCTAATTAGCTCGCCGGTCGAGTGTTCGCGGGAAGAGAAGGCAGGCAGTGCCAAAATTGGAAGTAATAATGAGAAAATTTCCTGACTTACCCTTCATATCATTACATAGTGTTTTCGATGAGTATTCGAATGATATAACTTTTGGGAGGTTTCCTTTCGATGAAAAAATGTGAAAATTCCTCTCAAACAAGGGCCCGAAATTGACAGCTGGTGGCAGAGAGGAACTTGAAAAGCTTACTATCAGCAGGGTAGGTTAATTAGAAGAGGTGCTCTATTCAGCTGATGTCATAGTTTGGCCCATTCTCCTTATTTTTCGCTTCAAAGATGCAACTTCGTTCCAAAAATGGATTTAAACAAAGTTGACTTAAATAGGGAATATCAGGTATCAAAATGATCAGCATCACCTGAAGAACACGTTAGTCACTTTTTTCATACTATTCCAAAACAAAAAAGAAGCGAAAAGGCTTGCTGAATACTAGTGGAAGCCGTTTGTCTCTGGCTGTAATTGGCTAGTTTCGACGCCCTAATGAGTACAAGCCTCGGTGCTTGGGATAGGAAAAAATAGAAAAATGAAATTTTCTGAAATCTGAGAGGACATTCTAATAGCACTCGACGAGCTGAGTCTAATGGTATAGTTTTTCATGTCGAAAAGCGATCAGAAATCAAATTATAGCAAAAAGACGAAAAAGACGCGGATCCGCGTCTTCCGCGTCTTTTTTAACAAAGTTATGGGAGGTACTGTATCTGATCTCGTATCTCTTTTGGCAATAATTGAATCCTGCACTTAAAGCTTCAGCCATTGAGCATGCAATAGTAATTGAAGATGGATGCGCTCTTTAACGAGCTGTGCAGTCGATTCTATCGCACAAATCATCATATGCCAATTCGCTGCATCAGTTATCTATACGATGAAGGTATGCTAGAGAGATCAAAAGTGGGGGTAATTCTATAAGTTAACCACATCTAAACTACAGAATTCTCAATATGCACAGCTTTTCCATTCTAATTTCAAAAATGGTTGTCTGAACAGTTTGTCTGTCGCCAAAAGCGATGTCAGAATGTCAGCTGCACCAATCCTGAGCAGGTGCATTCCAGAGCCCGAGCGATGTGCCTGTATCTAAATGCTCACGATGACAGCACAGCTAACGCTGCACTCGCTCATCGAATTCGATAAGCTCGATGCGCGTCGCCAGGGATTCCGTCCAAAGCTCGACACATCCAACTGACTAGTGACTAGCAAACGATCCATCTTCTTTTCTACATCCTATATTTTACCAGTTGCAGCAGAAACAAAGCCCATACGCACAAGCAAAGCAGGCACAACAGAGCGCTCCTTCATAATCCTGAAAACCGACTCTAGAAACGAACGTCCACTTGTCAGTCGCGGAGAGCACCCAATTTGTGAATAGAATTTACCTACTTTATTCGTCTTTATGTTTTCGCCCTAAATTTTCCCCTTTCATCATTTCAGCGCTACAGCACAAACTCCTCGTTGAATCAGGCCAGCTGGCGTGCATCCGCCATCACTAGCACTGTTGATAGCTACAACAATTCCTCTGCTGTTCGCAGTTGATTGATGTTGTTATTTTTGCGGAGATGATAGACTACCCCTACTAACATTATTAACGAACAGTTTCCAACAATATGAACCTCATTTTTTCATGCCCTTTTTCGTCCCTTTTTTCGTGTTTTCTTGCGAAGCTCACTCGATTAGGTTTGTTGATGCAAGCTCTTTCGCGAGCGAAGCGCTGAAGTAGACGCACCTGAAGAAAAGGGTCATTTCCACGACACAAAACATCCAACATAAAGGAGCATTAAGTAGATACGACTGACCATGGACAACTAAGCAACCGCACACGACTATCGTTGCGGTGTTTGCTCTCTCACCCACCTGCTGTGCTCTCTCGACTCTGAGTCTTTTCTCCCTCCTCAGCACCTTATTTCCCTGCCTATCTCTCATGCCCTCCACTTCCCCAGAGTCTAGAAAAGGTCACTCCCATTCCTAGTGTTCCTGATGGTTTCTTTCCCATTTTCTTCGATGGCAGTCCAGTTCGCACCTATTTTCATTTTCAAGAGGAAAACCTTACCGACCTGATCATGGGTTGTGCCTTACGCGTAAGGAACCAGAACAGCCGCGCAGTCCCACAATTTAGAGTGTCAGAGAAGGTAATGTTCCCTTCCGTCAGCAGATCAGACTTATGGACATTTAGAGATCGAATACGGACGTCGCTCAATGTGATTGGTGACGGCTTCGCAGCAAGTGTGGTGGAAAACTCATTGCGGGTAGTGTTCTTCTTCAGGAATTTGTGAACTTTTTCACTAATGACATATCGGATCTTTTCAGAAAACTCAAGAAATCTGCTTTGTTTTCAGAGACAGCTGAAAGATCGTTCACGCCCCACAATTACTGAGGTGGCATCCAGAGGGAACCTGATTGTATAAATCTCGAAGGC